ACAACAACAACACACACACACACACACACACACACACACACACACACACGAACATACACGAACATACACACCGGCATAGGGATTCTAACCATGTCGGTCCAGTTGGATCTAACCCGCTTGCTTCTCTGTATCCCTGTTGCAGGGTAAGCCGTTCCTGCCCTTTGAGCAACTGATGGGCGTGCTACCACCCGCGTCACACAAGCACGTGCCAGTTGCCTACCAACACCTCATGCTCAATGAGTCATCACCCATCCACGACTTCTACCCGCTGACCTTCGAGAGTGATCTCAACGGCAAGAAGCACGACTGGGAGGCTGTGGTATGTGTGGTGGGGGGTGGTTTAGGGGGGCGGGTGTGGGTGTACGGTGTTGTGTATGAAGAGGTGTGGGTGTTGTTGTGTATGATTCTACTGTGGTGTATGTAGTATACGTATAATGTATTTTACCATTCAAGTCTACTGTGTTTTACGGCCAGAAGCATAACTAAAAGACTGTGGTAGCCACATGTATGACTATGAGTAAGTGTATATTCCTCTGGGGTGTCACATGGGATGCGCTTGTTATAGTACCGTGTGCTGTGGTTGTGATCACACGCGTGTCGCCTGCCCACGTGTTCATCCGTTTCCATTGCAGTCACACACACTCTGATAATGTGTACATGGACATCTAAACCCTAAACCCTAAAACTCTAGAATATCACCATAAACCAACATTGCATTGACACCCATTTATTGCCACTCTTCCATTGACGCTTTCCGTTCCATACCCGGTACTATCGTAGACCAAATACCCTTGTAGAAGCCTTCACAGGGGTTCGGCCAGAGCCAACGGTGGCATCACCAAAACCTCGAATCCAAATCCTAATTTTTAACCCCTAGAACCCTAAAATAGGATTTCCCGCACTTTCCGTCCCAATCGGTACTATTATAGGTGAAACTGCCGTTTGTGGACGAAGCACGGCTGAAGGCAGCCATGGCACCCCACCGCAGCGAACTCAGTCCCATTGAGGAGGCGAATCAGGTACACTCACTGCATGCAGCTGATCGTGCACTACACCACTACGCACACAACTACCTGTGTACATGTCTGTGGCACAGGGCTATAACACTCTTATTTTCTCATGTGTTATACACCACTACGCACACAACTATACTTGTGTACATATCTGTGGCACAGGGCTATATCACTCTTATTTTCTCATGTGTGTAAACATGCGCCCCGGTTTACACTGGTCTCTGTTAAACCTCGCCACCGTTTCTCATTTCGTCACTCTTATTTCCTCACGTGTGAAAACAGGATATATCCTCACGTATGGCAACAAGAGCCCGAGCTGACATTTGTGTCGTTTATACCCCACTACTTCTTATTCCGACACTCTTATTTCCTCATGTGCAGAAACAAGAGCCCGGGCTTTCATTTGTGTCTTTCTTCTTATTCCGACACTCTTATTTCCTCACGTGTAGAAACAAGGGCCCGAGCTTATATTTGTCTACAGCGAGCACGACCCAAAGTTCTATACATCACCGTGGCCAGAGGTCTACCCGCACATCCCTCAGTGCTACTGCCATCAATCCGATATGAAGCAGGTATGCACATGCACATACGGGGACACTACGACAAGCGAGCTAGTTACAGTACAGACATAAGAGCTTGGATATATGCATATATATATATGGATATATGCAT